TTGAACAGAAATCGTAAAAATACAAGCAGTGAGCATTGGCTGTAATATGGACAACAGCCAGTTCATTATAACCCTTTTGGGCAAGATTGTCTTGTTATTTAATGTAAGTAAACGATTCTTAATACATGTAATGCCTTTTGGTCCGATATAAATTCATTTTAGTTTTGGATTGAAAGTGTTGGTTTTCAAAATGAGAATCATTGCTCGATCAGTATAAACAAGTTCTCTTGACAGCATGTTTGAATCGACTGGTTTTAGATTGTAAGTCATGTCGGTTTAACTGGAAAAAACGTCTTTTTCAAAAAAGATTTCAAAATGGATATAATAAAGTGGTAATTGAACTTCGTGTCGTGCAATTTTGGTCTGAAATCAAACTTGCAATTACAAATCGCACTCCCGCTACGCGGTCGTGCGATTTTGTAATCGCGCGTTTGATTTCAGACCAAATTGCACTCCACTCAGTTCAATTACCATTATAAACTAGCCAAATTTGCTAGGCACTGAACGACAAAACCAGATGTGTTAGTAAGAAAAAATAATTTTCTTTTCCTAATTTGTCATTGAAATATTCTCATTGCTTTCATATAGTCATAAACTATTCTTCTTACTAGATGTTCGTTGTTTCTCTCCTGTGCTTCGAGGGGTTTTCCTTGGATGCTTCGGCTTTCCCTTCTCTGCAAAAATCAAATTCCAAACACTGTCGATACACAGGAATCCCATCAATTAATTTCGGCAACTGATTCAAACATTATTTGCTTCACTTGACGGAATTGATGGTTCCGACTCAAATAGAGCTGTTAAGTGTGACGTAATTCGAACGAAAAAAGTGTTCCGGGTCCAAATTAAAACTTACTTCTGCAGACATTTTTCTGTGTCTTTTCTTCATAGCAGGATTTTCTGTTCATATCTAATTGTTAAAGGTAGAGAATTAATCCTGGAAATACTACTCTTCCCAGTAGACCAAGGCAGTTGGAAATTTTTAATCGCCTTTGTAGCGTCGATTGTGTTAACCGCAAGTACATTTCAAATCGTCCACGTGATGTCAATGTTATACCACGTGAAAAAAAAATTTTTTTACCCCATGTAATTAAGAATGCTTCCTCAACCAAACGTTTTTTAATATTATAGATCTTTATTAAAAAGCTTGATGGTTAAGGAAGCGTTCTTAAATTTGTAAAATTGATTAAATTCCAACCTAGAAAAAGCACGTTAGATTTAATTCATAATCAATTTTGGACGATCAGAGTTTTAAATTCGGTTTGAGATATTCTCGCTAAATTGCAGAGCTCGTGGGACATAGCAACGTAAAAAATAGAAGAATATTGACCACTGCAAATATCGTTAGCATTTCTTCCCAGGATTTACTATAGATATTAGTAGCGGCGAGTTCAACTGGTCCGAGGAACGAGCATCTCGTAAAGCATCGCGTACAATTCCGGGTCACTTCCGGTGATTTTACTCATCTGCATACTAAATCACGGCACGCCTGTCACATTTCATGCTAATTAACCTCAAGGAATTACAAAGAATAAGGAAGAATTCGTACTTTCCACTCTCGATAGCAATAACGGGGAAGAGTCAAGAAAAAAATGTTGCAACGGAAAATAAGAGTAATACAACGACAGTTTAGTGTGCTTTAATCTTGGCTTTTAGCTCTTGGTCGATCCAGCGATTTTCTTTGAGTAAATAATGTGTCAAAATGGCGTCCTTTTGTATGGAAAGTACGACAATGCAATTAAGAAATGCCCTTCTGAAAAAAGAGCACCGGAAATTTGATGTTCATTCACTGCCATAAATGAATCCTGCATTTGTTTCTTTCGTCTTTGAATGTGATATGCGATTTTTGAAGTATTTGTTCAGTAACTGTGGAGGCTGGTTTTGAGAAGAGAAGCCCAGAATCGCTCGAGAATTGTGTCAAATTTACAATCGTTCTTCATTTTTCGTCCGCCATATCGAATAGCCAGGTTCCTCGTTGGCTTGGAAACAACGGTCTTAGTCACCAGTTTCTATAGAAAACGCACTTTTTTAAAC